GTACATGTATATATATATGTATGTACATGTATATATATATGTATGTATGTACATGTATATATATATGTATGTATGTACATGTATATATATATATATGTATGTACATGTGTATATATATATATATATATATATGTATGTACATGTGTATATATATATATATATGTATGTACATGTGTATATATATATATATATGTATGTACATGTGTATATATATATATATATGTATGTACATGTATATATATATATATATATGTGTGTGTGTAAATGTATGTATGTATGTATGTATACATATGTATGTATATGTATGTATAAGGTGTTTTAATCCCTTCCTGCACTTTTGCAATATTCTAAACAATGTTTCTAAACTCTAAAACTCTAAAAGAGCACAGAATGTCATGATTTCAGCTCCCTGCCTCTGCTCTTTGCCACCTGCAAGCGCTCTTTTTGAAAAACCGCAATAGAGCAATTCTGTGATAAACAAACCGCAAAGTATCGAGGGACTACTGTATTGCTACTTTGCGGTTCATGTATAGTGGCTTTTTTTTAATACGATTGGACATGACACACAACTGGCTGATTGATGGATGAGCCGCACATTCGACATGGAATTTTTATTTAAAATTAATTATTTTAAATTATTTAGCACTTGCTGCACCTTTATGTAGCCCAGATCTCCAGAAAAAGCTTCCACCTGAAGCTTTATACAGCTTATACTGCAGGATAAACTTCCTGCAGCAGCTATCTCTGTGCAGAGTGGAGATGTGGGCGTGGCCAAGATCGCTTGCAGGTGTCAAAGAGCAGAGGAGGCAGAGAGCTGAAATCATGGCATTCTGTGCTCTTTTAGAGTGTTTAGAGTTTAGAAACATTGTTTAAAATATTGCAGGAGTGTTAATATATATATAAATAAATAAATAAATATGTGTATATATATATATATACATATATACATATATACATATATACATATATATATATATATATATATATATATATATATATATATATATATAACAAACTACTTACTACATGTACTACTATTCCTAATTCACGTTTTTTCACTTATTTTGTTGCTTAAGGGTACGGATCTCCTGCGATAAACGAGGGACTACTGCATATGTGTGTGTGTGTGTGTATGTGTGTGTGTGTGTGTGTGTGTGTGTGTGTGTGTGTGTAGGTGGGTGGGTGAGTGGTTAGGTAGTTAGGTAGGGTATGTGTGAGGGAAACATTGTTCAGAGTTTAAATGGCTCACAGAAAGTTAGGCTTCTAATGACTGAACTGATGTCTTTTTTAGTCCGTGTTTACGTTTGATTTTTCAAGATTTTACCATCAATGTTCCACAACAACCTTTGAGATGTCGGAAAACAAACAGATTTTATTCCCCTAAACTTCACTTTTTCTCCAGTTAATGCAGATAAATGTAAGTGTTTTCGTTTTCTTTCCTCCTTGTGTCTCTGGCTCTTCTCTCCAAACATTAACCACTGGATGGATTTAAATTAAACTTTCAGGAAAGTAGATGAACATCTTCAACTCTCAATCCAATTCAAGATGGACACCACAGCTAAGTGACGTTTGCCCACTCAACAAAGGCTATGACTCGGTCATTTCCACTGATGTTGAGCTCAAATTGAATGTGGTAGTAGCTGAGTCATTCACAACATGTACTATGCACTCTGAACACATCGTGCAGTATGATGAGTCTGTGCATTAAGTTATTTCAAGGTTTGACCGAAGTGACTACAACTCTCATTTCTCAGTAGAAGATGATCCTAGCAGACTTGGCTAAATAGACCATCCTAAAACCTGAGGTCCAAGACTAAACAAGTCCAACGGAGTTTACGGTCATGTTGTCTTTTCTCAGCTGCAAGGAGGACATCTGTCATGGTGTCGGGACCCTGCTGGTTTACGTGAAAAGCCTCAAGGGCCTAGCAGCCATCAGAGATGCTGTGTGGGACCTCCTGGCCTCAGACTCTATCAGTCAGCACTGGACCATGGTATGCCAGCAGCTCCTGGGGCGCCCCCTGGCGGTGTGGGATGACTTCCTGCAGCAGCTCTTCCTCCAGCGCCTGCAGGTGGGTCATTCTCTAGCTACAATAATAAAGCAGTTGGACGAATATCAACCATCGGTGAATGGAGTCCATCAGACAGTGGACCTTTGGTCCCCTGTTGATGTACTGAAAGAAGGAATTGGAAATCCCCTTAGTCCATCCTTCCATCCATGTTGTGAATGTGATAACCTGACAAATGAACGAGGTACCCATTTCCATTTTGGTGTGTGGCTGCATGCAGGTGTGAGAAAGCTCTGTCAAAGATTGGGTTGATGCATGGAAAAACAAACTGCAGAACAACTTGTGTGCTGAAAAACGTATCTCACTTGTGTGAATGCTTTAAAATGATTGACACGGTTAAAAAAAAACTGCTTGGCCCTGTGCTCAGGATGCACCTTTGATGACATTTAAAGACATTTAACAATCAACCTTTATCAACAGAAACCAGATGCAGCTTTTCTAACAGACAGAATGAAAGAGCCCCACAGAGAGTGTTCCCTTCAGATCATCTGTGGAGATAATTTATCATACTGTTTACACCTAACAAACAAACAAATGTTATACAGGTGCTGGTCATAAAATTAGAATATCATGAAAAAGTTGATTTATTTCAGTAATTCCATTCAAAAAGTGAAACTTGTATATTATATTCATTCTTTACACACAGCCTGATATATTCCAGATGTTTATTCTTTTAATGTTGATGATTGTAACTGACAACTAATGAAAACTCCAAATTCATTATCTCAGAAAATTAGAATGTTGTGAAAATAATATTGAAGATGTCTGGTGCCACACTCAAATCAATGAATTAACTCAAAACACCTGCAAAGGCCTTTAAATTGTCTCTCTGTCTAGTTCTGTAGGCTACACAATCATGGGGAAGACTGCTGACTTGACAGTTGTCCAAAAGACGACCATTGACACCTTGCACAAGGAGGGCAAGACAGTAAAGGTCATTGATAAAGAGGCTGGCTGTTCACAGAGCTCTGTGTCCAAGCACATTCGTAGAGTGGAGAAGGGAAGGAAAAGATATGGTAGAAAAAAGTGTACAAGCAATAGGGATAACCGCAACCTGGAGAGGATTGTGAAACAAAACCCTTTCCGAAATGTGAGGAAGATTCACAAAGAGTGGACTGCAGCTGGAGTCAGTGCTTCAACAACCACCACGCACAGACATATGCAAGACATGGGTTTCAGCTATCGCATTCCTTGTGTCAAGCCACTCTTGAACAAGAGACGGCATCAGAAGCGTCTCGCCTGGGACTGCTGCTGAGTGGTCCAAAGTTATGTTCGCTGATGAAAGTAAATGTTGCATTTCCTTTGGAAATCAAGGTCCCAGAGTTTGGAGGAAGAGAGGAGAGGCGCATAATCTACATTGCTTGAGGTCCAGTGTCAAATTTCCACAGTCAGTGATGGTTTGGGGGACCATGTCATCTGCTGGTGTTGATCCACTGTGTTTTCTGAGGTCCAAGGTCAACACAGCTGTCTACCAGGAAGTTTTAAAGCACTTTATGCTTCCTGCTGCTGACCAACTTTATGGAGATGCAGATTTCATTTTCCAAAAGGACTTGGCACCTGTACACAGTGCCAAAGCTACCAGTACCTGGTTGAAGGGCCATGGTATCCCTGTTCTTAATTGGCCAGCAAACTCACCTAACCTTAACCCCATAGAAAATCTATGGGGTATTGTGAAGAGGAAGATGTGATACACCAGACCCAACAATTCAGAAGAACTGAAGGCCACTATCAGAGCAACCTTGGCTCTCATAACACCTGAGCAGAGACACAGACTGATCGAATCCATGCCACACCACATCGCTGCAGTAATCCAGGCAAAAGGAGCCACAACTAAGTATTGAGTGCTGTACATGCTCATACTTTTCATGTTCATACTTTTCAGTTGGCCAACATTTCTAAAAATCCTTTTTTTTGGTAAGGCAGCACGGTGGCGTAACTGGTAGAGCTGCTGTCTCTCAGCAAGAAGGTTTTTGATTCAAATCCTGGTTCGGGGGCCTTTCTGGGTGGAGTTTGCATGTTCTCTCCGTGCATGTATGAGTTTTCTCCGGGTACTCCAGTTTCCTCCCACAGACCAAAAACATTCATGTTAGGCTGACTGGTAACTCTAAATTGTCCCTAGGTGTGAGTGAGAGAGTGAATGGTTGTTTGTCTCTGTGCTGCCCTGTGATGGACTTGCGACGTGTCCTGGGTGTACCCTGCTCCTCGCATAGTGATTGGCTGGGCATGGGCACCGGCGACCCCCTTGACCCAAAATGGAAGAGACGGATGGATGGATGGAAGGGTCTTAAATAATATTCTAATTTTCTGAGAAACTGAATTTGGGGTTTTCATTAATTGTGAGTTATAATCATTAACATTAAAATAGCTAAACATTTGAAATATATCAGTCTGTGTGTAATGAATTAATATAATATACAAGTTTCACCTTTTGAGTGGAATTACTGAAATAAATCAACTTTTTCATGATATTCTAATTTTATGACCAGCACCTGTATATGTAACAATAGATCTATAAACACATGCACACCTCTGTAAACATTACATAGATGCACATTTGTCAGAACGGTGCTCAGCTCATGATGATCTACATCCTGCAACTAACAGGACACAAAGGGACAGTTCTGGAGAAGTTTGGTGATCAGTTTAGCTCGTAGGCCATCCATCATTACCTTCATGCTCCGTAACATCTCTTCGTTAACATCTGTAGCATTTTGATGCAGCCGATGGTGCCACCCTCCTCGCTCAGTCCTGGAAAACTAATTTTCAGTAACAGGAAGTGATGTAATTGGGGAACAAAGCATTGCTACAATGGCTAACACAGACAGCAGAGAAGAATCTGAAGTTTCTTTAGAGTATTTTGAGAATCAGAGAGACGAAGAGTCAGAGTTCAAATAATATTGTTTCAATAAACGAAAACCAGGAAGTTCTCCTTTGATGTTACTTCCTGTCTCTTTGCGGCCGCACCATTCATTCAACCTTTATTTAGACAGGTAAATCCCATTGAGCCTCGAGGACTCATTTACAAGAGAGACCTGATTTCAACAAAGAATGATGACAACAATGGACAACAGCGACAACAATAAACAGTTATAAAAAGTCATACTCCAGTTTTTTGCGTATTTTTTGCGGCCGCACCAAGTTAAAAAGAAAATATGACAATTATGCGACAAAATCTGTAAAATCATATTTTATGCTACAGGTAAATTACTTGAATTTGGATGTTTTATGACTGAAGAAGTCTTTTGGAGAAAAGACAAAACGTTTCAACAAGAATCCGTCCAGAGAACCTGGCTCATCCTTGTTAGATATTCAGATGTTTTCTTCTACTTTTGTCTTAGTAGGACCTGCATGTGACAGGAACTTTAAAGACGTTTTAAACATGGCGTGCTGTAAGAATAAGGTCCGTTCTTTAGAGTGATCAGGCCTCCTGTAGCTCCAAGCTGGTTGCAAAATTTTCTTGTCAGAGGCTTTGAGTTGTTTTCAAACCAAAGTGATTTAAAATGAGTGCTTTGGTTTTCTTCTACAAACTGGATTCCAAAAAAGTTGGGACACTAAACAAATTGTAAATAAAAACTGAATGCAATGATGTGGAGATGGCAAATGTCAATATTTTATTCGTAATATAACATAGATGACAGATCAAAAGTTTAATCTGAGTAAATGTAACATTTTAAAGGAAAAATATGTTGATTCAAAATTTCACAGTGTCAACAAATCCCAAAAAAGTTGGGACAAGTAGCAATAAGTGGCTGGAAAAAGGAAATTGAGCATATAACAAACAGCTGGAAGACCAATTAACACTACTTAGGTCAATTGCCAACATGATTGGTATAAAAAAAGCTTCTCAGAGTGTCAGTGTCTCTCAGAAGCCAAGATGGTAAGAGGATCACCAATTCTACCATTGTTGCACAGAAAGATAGTGCGGCAATACCAGAATGGTGTTACCCAGCGTAAAATAGCAAAGACTTTTAAGTTATCATCATCAACCATGCATAACATCATCAAAAGATTCAGAGAATCTGGAACAATCGCTGTGCGTAAGTGTCTAGGCTATAAAACTCTACTGGATGCTCGTGATCTCTAGGCCCGTAAACATCACTGCACCTCAAACAGAAATGCCACTGTCAAGGAAATAACAGAATGGGCTCAGGAATACTTCCAGAAAGCATTGTCAGTGAACACAATCCACCGTGCCATCCACCGTTGCCAGCTGAAACTCTACAGTGCAAAGAGGAAGCCATTTCTAAGCAAGCTCCACAAGCTCAGACGTTTGCACTGGGCCAGGGGTCATTTAAAATGGAGTGTGGCAAAATGGAAGACTGTTCTGTGGTCAGATGAGTCACTATTTGAAGTTCTTTATGGAACACTGGGACACCATGTCATCCGGACCAGAGAGGGCAAGGATAGCCCAAGTTGTTATCAATGCTCCGTTCAGAAGCCTGCATCACTGATGGTATGGGGTTGCATGAGCGCTTGTGGCATGGGCAGCTTGCATATCTGGAAAGGCACCATTAATGCAGAGAACTATGTTCAGGTTCTAGAACAACATATGCTCCCATCTAGATGTCATCTCTTTCAGGGAAGACCCTGCATTTTTCAACACGATAATGCCAGACCACATTCTGCAGCAATCACAACAACATGGATACGTAGGAGAAGGATCCGGGTACAGAAATGGCCAGCCTGCAGTCCAGATCTTTCACCTATAGAGAACATTTGGCGCATTATAAAGAGGAAGGTGCGACAAAGAAGGCCCAAGACGATTGAACAGTTAGAGGCCTGTATTAGACATGAATGGAAGAGCATTCCTATTTCTAAACTTGAGAAACTGGTCTCCTCTGTCCCCAGACGTCTGTTGAGTGTTGTAAGAAGAAGGGGGGATGCCACACCGTGGTAAAAATGGACTTGTCCCAACTTTTTTGGGATTTGTTGACGCCATGAAATTTGGAAACAACAGATTTTTCCCTTAAAATGATACATTCTCTCAGTTTAAACTTTTGACTTTTGATTTGTGTTCTACTCTGAATAAAATATTAGATGCTGGCACCTCCACCTCATTGCATTCAGTTTTTATTCACAATTTGTTTAGTGTCCCAACTTTTTTGTAATCCGGTTTGTACAAAGAAGGATTGTCCGGGCCACACCAAACCAACAAACAAAAACCCACCTGGGTGAATACACTGCCAACCGTTGGTTGTTGGAAGATTAAAACCTTCTGCTTTTCAATCAGCCGTAGCATTTTATTCATTTTCTTTGGTTGGAAAACCTTCTGCCTTGTGATCCCTGGCTGAGAGGCACAGTGGAAGATGATCCGTTTTATGATTTCTAAGAGTTCTTTCGTTCCGTTCCCCAAGGCCATCACCAAGGAAGAAACTGAAGCCATCGCAGCAAGTTCTGTCCAGCTCCTGACATCGGCTGTTAAAGATCTGGAGGACCACCTCTCTAGTACCAGTCCCAGTTCCAGCCGCGGAGCCCTCTATGAGGTGGATGTGGCCTCATTTTTATGGTCGGAGACTCCAGGGGACCTGCTGAGCGACGCAGCCTGGGTCAGTGTGGCCCAGCGGGGTCTTCAGCAGCAGAGGAGTGGCCTGGCCATGAAGACACAGGCACTTACACCTTGTGTTCAGAACTTCTGCTCCTCCTTGGATGCAAAGCTGAAGAACAGACTGGATGACTTGCAGCACTACCTGCCCTCCCAGGACACAGGTAGGACTATCTCACCAAACCAAAGTTTTTAGAACAAACCCATCCTGTTCACATTCATTTAACCCTTTGATGATGCAAACTCCCCGGCAGCGTAGAAACTAAAAGATATAAAAAAAAGTCTTTACTTCAGTTAAAAGTCCAGGTTTTTGTGATATAAAAATATGAACCATGAGGACCACATTAAATGGACTGAATGGACAAATTGATGGACTGGAGACCTGTCCAGGTGTCTCTGTGATGGACTGAGACCTGCCCAGCTTGTCCCTTTGATGGACTGGAGACCTGTCCCGGTGGCTGTGATGGACTGCAGGTCTGTCCAGGTGTCTTTGATGGACTGCAGACCTGTCCAGGTGTCCCCTGCCTCTCACACAGTGACTGCTGGATATGGTCACCATTGACTCTCACAACCCAGAAAGGATGTAAAGACCACAACTGATGTGGATCATGTGGTTCTGTTGGTCTATGGGCTTGACCTTTAGCATGCACTGGGGTGGTTCACAGCTCTGGGAACAGTGTCAGTTTCTCTAATGGCCCTTTTCCATTGTAAGACCTGGCCGGCTAGGTCGGCTCAGCCCAGGTTCTGCATCTTTGCATTAATTGGTCTGGCCCACTTCCAGCTCTGTTTTTGGAACCCATAGGCCTAGGGTTCCATGCAAGCCAACTAGTGCCGATCATCAGACATCAGCTGACTGCATGCCATTAATCAGTTCACTGCCCTGGTTGTACTCGCAGCTTCAAACAACTACAAACAAGCTCATTAGCTAGCATTAGCTTCCCTTCTTGCATGGTCTTGGACATGAAACTGCTATTTGGTCTTGAACACTCACATGTATCTTTCTGTCTCTTCTAGAAGCATGCAGCTTTCTCTGCCTCTGCTTTATCTTGTTTTTGATGAGAGAAAGTTGAACAATCGCAGGAGATCCATGCTTTTCATTGTTGCGTGTTGCAAGAAATGACTTCTTGTGAGCCTTGAGCATTCTTGCTATGACAATCTTGCCCACTTACAAAACCAACCATGGCTGTGCAGAGTCAGGGAAGACCTGACCGGAGCCAGGCTGGACCTTACACTGCAACAATGTCATTAGTCTGAGGCCATGGTTTTCCACCGGAAACTGATCAGGAGAGAGTCTTTGCCTCATGTGGAGTTTAAATATCTGGGTCTTGTTCACGAGGTGCTGGCACCTCCACCTCATTGCATTTGAGTCCAGTTGGACTTGGATGGAGCAAGAGATGGATTGATGGATCTGGGCCTCATCCTCAATAATGAGGGAGTTGTTTTGGTTAGTTGTGATGAAGATAGAAATGAGTCCAAAGGCAAAGCTCTGGATTTACTGGTCTGTCTACATTCCAACCCTCATCAGTGGTCAGGAGGTTTGGATCAGGACTGAAAGAACCAGATTCTGGATCCAAGCAGCCAAAATGAGCTTCCTTCGTAGTGTGTCTGGGCTCAAGCTTAGAGATAGGATAAGAATAGGGCAAAAATAAATGTGCGATATGAAGTTGATAGTGTAAAAGACAAGTTATTGTGTATTGTGGTGGCATCTATGAAACATGGATGATTACATTACTAACTGCCATCTTCCATTCTTTACTCTGCAGGATCCGACTCCACCACAGTCACGGTGTTGTCCTCTGGGTCTTCTGATGCCTCGTCATCATCATTTAACCGCTTCACAGATTCTCCGGCGGTGGAGGAAGCTTTGCGGGATGGCTGCGTTGTCTGTGTTCGCCACATCCTGGCCACCATCCGCTCTGAGTTGGACTCTGCCCCCACTCACCTTAGCTCTGTTCTGTTCATGGCCAGGCTGTGCCAGTCTGTGGGGGAGCTCTGCCCCAACCTGAAGAATTGCATCCTGGGAAGACAGAGCAGGGTTGAAGCCTTGGCCAAAGGGATGCCCCGGCAGGGCAAGAAGCTGGGCAAAGCCAGGGTCACTGCGGAGGTCAGCCCTGCACAGGCTGAGTGGGCAGGGCTGAAGGAGGAGCTTCTCAGCTGCAGCATGGACGCATACCGCATTTGGAGCTCCGCCCTTGCCAAAGTCAGAACCAATCACCATCACATACTTACCTGTGAAACTGGGTTTTATATTTGTTGCTTAACGGGGGCCTTTTCTGTCCACCAATCATGCTGGTTCACTGCATTGCAGGGGCTGATGGGTAAGTTTGGTGCAGCGCTGCATGCGGAGTCTGCCGGTGAAATCCTGACCACTGCAACAAACTGGGAGGATCTAGAGATCCAAGAAGAAGCTGAATCTGGGAGTAGGGTCACGTCCAAAATCCGTCTTCCGGTGCAGGTCAGTGACCTTCTCAGACCCAGACTCAACATGGAACTCTGGTTCCACCTTCATGAAACATTTATCTATTCTGTCTTCTGCAGCCGTCCTGGTTTGTGCAGTCTCTGCTCTTCCAGCTCTGCTTGGAGACAAACAGAGTAGGGGGCCACGCCCTTCCACGGCCCACCCTGCAGGAGCTGCTGCAGGCCTGTCTCATTCAAGCTCTGGACCAGTACTATAGTCTCACAAAGCAGGACCAGACCCGGGTAACCACCACATCTACCAGCACTGACATCATGAAGTCACCCAGTGACTGAATTTATTAAATAAATAATATGAAGGATGCAAAAGTGAGACAATTCTTCCTCTGCTTCGATCAGGAGGGGGTCTTCCCCCTGTCCCAGAATCGAGCCCTGCAGTTGTTGTTTGACCTTCGTTACCTCAGCGCCTCACTGAGCAGCAGGCTGGAGGAGGGCCGGAGCTCACGCTCACATCAGGACCCCAGGTAGGAATCCAGATCCGGCAACGCGTGACGCACGGAGCTACGAGAGAGGTTAATGCTGACTCAGCACCTCCTGAGTTTTTCTAAATAACTATGGCATACTTTCATTTATGAAAGCATTTTTAATTTATCTAAACATTCAGCTCAATGAGGAATAGTGTTCTATGAATTTTAGTTTTTCAAACATTTCAAAATATTTAACTTTATTTAAAGAATCTTCACCATAGAAAAACAGATCTCTTCAGTTCAAAATTGTTGTTCTCTTTAAAATCAGCTTTAGAAAACTGGCTCTGATTTTGTTTTATGCTACTTTTAGCCTTTAGCTACCATTTCCCTCTATTAGCAGTTAGTTATCAGTCTGCTTTATTAGCTACAATTGAGCAAGTTTTGCTAATGTTGCTAGTAATTTGCAAAATCTTGCCACTGTCCCATTTTTATCTTTTAGCTATAGTCCTGCTGATTTTTAACTCTAGTCGTCTTTGAGCTAAATTTATCCCTTTTAACTTCAACAAATTTCAACTAAATTTGTTTTAAGGTAGTATTTTATTTCTTGTGTATAAAGTGTCTTTGAGCTCCTTGAAAATAAATATTTTTCAAATTAATAACTAGGACTGCTCAGTTATGGAAAAATTATCATCTTGATTATTTTAATTTGTATTATTATCAGAATTAATGAAAACAATTCATTTGAATAAGGAAACATTGCAGTTTTGGGACTTCAAAGAGTAATTAGCCTTTAAGGTGAACTCATCCTGGACAATTTTCTGTACCGCATCAAATGTATAAAATAATTAAAACAAATAAAATCAGCCATATTGTGCTCTTTTTAATTTAGGCTGTATAAAATCAGAAAGTTTCCCCACCAATGTTTTTAAACTTCTTTTTACATAACATTGTCACTTTTTTCCCACCATGTTTTATTCTACTGTATATTCTTTTCACCAAAACATTCTACCATATGTTGAATTATTACATTTTTAATAAATAAATGGCAAAATAACCTAAATTTCGTGATTATTAACAAACTTCAGCAAAAAATATAATAACGTTTTAGATCAATAGCACATTTATTGATTCAATACAGTGCATACAATGTTTTTGTAAGATAAATTCAAAAAAGTTCAAGACAAAAACTGTAAGATAATTATATATATATTTTAGTAAAATAAAACTGCTTCATAGAGAAACCTAAAATTCACACTACATCTTGATATTATTAGTGCAAAAAACATGTTTTACAACTGTTGTCATATAACCCCTTACTGAGGTGATGATCATCAGTAAGTTATGGGTGGTGATGGTGATGTTGAGTTGATGGAGTGATGGTGATGATGTTAGTGATGACAGTGGTGATGATGATGATTCAAGGATTCAAGGCTCTTTATTGTCATTCACATCACATGTGGTACATGAGGTGGAACAAAACTATGTACACAGAGTCCCAGTTACATCCAACAAAAACACAAATGGTAAAGAAAAACAGTAATAACATCTAAAATATGCACTAAGAAATACGCTAAACTAAGAATACACTAAGCACTAAAAGTACAAAACAATGCACCAAACAACAACAGCAGCACAAACATGAGTCTCTATGAGAAGATGAGGACGAATGAACACAGCTACCTGAAATAAATCTGCAACATGAGATCAGCATCACGGACAGTCAGCAGCACATATCAACAACCAAGTGGCATTACAGTGACTTTTTCACAGTAATTTTCACATTGATAATCCTGACTAGGGATAAGTCTAACAGCTTCAGGGTAGAAGCTGTTTCTCAGCCTAGTGATTCTACACTTAATGCTCCTAAACCGTCTGCCTCAGGGGAGTGGGGCAAAAAGTGTGTGCGCTGGGTGAGTGGGGTCCTTCCTGATGCAGGTGGCCCTCTTCCTGCATCTGGAGCTGTAGATGTCTGTGAAGATGGGGAGGCTGACTCCAACAGTCTTCTGTGCAGCTTTCACCACTCTCTGCAAAGCTTTTCTTTCGTGTGCAGCCTCCATGCCACACATCGATGCTGAATCACAGGATGCTCTCCACTCCATATCTGTAGAAGGAAGACTGAGGTTGATGGAATGATGATGTTGATGGAATGATATTGAGGTTAGTGATGATGAAGGTGATGGCCATCCCTCCCCCCCTTCTGGGGGGAGGGGAGGGGATACCCTGAGGCTGTTGGACTCATGAATCTCTAACTAGAATAATCATTGTGAAAAATCACATCATGTTGCTGCTGATCTGTTTCTTGTTGCTGTGTTCATTCGTGCTCATCTGCTCACACAGACTCATGTTCGTGCTGCTGTTCGACGTAATGTTTTTATGCTATTAGTGCTTAGTGTATTCATTCAACCTTTATTTAGACAGGTGTTTTTCTTAGTTCATATCTTAGATCTTATTACCGTTTTTCTTTTACATTTTATTGTTTGATGTCATTGGGACCCTGTGTACGTAATCTCGTTCCACCACATGTACCACATGAGATGCGAATGACAAATAAATCTCTCTGACTCTGAAAATAAAGCTACACACTTATATCTTAAAGTTAGTGTTATATGGATCCTAGTTTAACTCACCACGATGCATGTATTAAGTTGCAGCAACGTTAACAAATGTAAACTTACCAGCTGAAATCCCAGACACAACGCCATCCTTGATATGAAGTAGAGTTTGGTCATGGAGATTTTGAATCAGGCTGTTAAGGCTCGGTAACACCCACAGGCTGACTTAAATCCTGAGAGGAGGATGGCTGCGGTCCTCTCTCCATACAGTCAAACACGGAGCAACTTTATGCTTTTAGAATGATTCAGTGCACGGTCAGGTGCTGCATGGCTTGCCTTAGAAACCACGTGAATCCTGTCTGTCGGCGTAACCACGTATGCGTTTTTCCTGGTTTTTCCTGCGTTGCAGCACTGGCATTTGCTATAACTTTACATGTGGTTGAAACCACGTGTAACATTACAGCCAGTCACCGAAACTTGACACCAAAATACGAGGCATATTTTGATACATATACCGACCACTTCGGTCGGTACCATAAAAGAACCAAAGTTTAGCACTCAGCCCTAGACTCATCACTGCCTTAAGGCTCTGGATGTTGTGGGGCCTTGCATAATTGCGTGGACATCAGGGGCAGTAGCACTGGATTGGCACACTGATGTTGTGGTTTACTGGAGGGTGTGCTCCAATTATAGAGACATCACTCTCCTTATCCTTCCTGGTAAAGTCTATTCAGGGGTCCTGAAGAAGTGAGTCTCGTTGGTTGCCCCTCAGATCCAGGAGGAACAATGCTGGTTCTGTCCTGGCCGTGGCACACTGGATCAGCTCTTTACCCTTAGTAGGGTCATCGAGGGGTCATGGGAGTTTGCCCATGCAGTCTAGATGTGTTTTTTTTTTTTTTGGAGAAGGCTTTAAACCATGGGTGTCAAACTCCAGGCCTCGAGGGAATCCTGCAACTTTTAGATGTGTCTCTGATGCCACACAGCTGAATCAAATAAGGAGGTCATTAGTCAAGTCAGATTTATTTATAGAGCACATTTAAAACGCACAACTGTCACAACATCAAATAAAAAGTAACAAGATATATTTACAGCACATGGAATAAAAATATAAAACAGAAAACATAATTAGAAACAATGAAATGCTAAATCAGATATGATGACCTTGTGTTAAATAGGAATAATAATAAAAGCATAAACGGAATCAGAATCATTGAAAAACTAAATCTAAATCCGATCACCCTGTGTTAAATATCAATGATTATAGGTGAGTTTTTAGGAGAGCTTTAAAAGCAGAGACTGAGGTGGCCTGTCAAATGTTGATGGGCAGATTGTTCCAGAGTTTAGGGCCCACGACTGAAAATGCTAGATCTCCTCTGAGCTTCAGCCTGGTTTTTGGTACGGCCAAAAGCAGCTGGTCTGATCATCTCAAAGCATCTGACTTCCAATAAGATGGCGCCCGTGTACATGGCTTGCAATCCACCTCTGCTGATGGTGTTCGGATTATTTTTGTTTTTTGCATTTCTCATCTGTGACATCAACTCTCTGCTGGTATATGACAGACAACAACTTTTGGATCTTCGTTTTTCTGTCACTGAAGTCACTTATTTGGACCATTATCA